TCGCTTCTCGCTTAGGCGTTAGGAGCCTTGGTCGCTTCGGTTCGCTTTACGCCTTAAATAACACTGACACAGATGACTAGACATTAAATTTATTTATCATAAAATACTGAATCTTCTATAAATTGTATATATTTTTTTTTTGGGCAATTATGAATTATATATCATTATTACTATATTTACAATAAATTATATAATGTTATATATAAAATATATTTTTTTGTAATGTGTCTCCAACGTGTCCGTATCTTATTTTTTTAAGAAATGTAGTATAGGCGTATCCGTGTCGTGTCGTATGCTTGTCCCGTGTCCGTGTCCGTGTTTCTTAGGTGTCCAGGTCCAGGTCCGTGCTTCTTAGTCAATAAGTACCTTATTTCATCAGAGAGTAAGTGGAATATTGAGATAGAGTTTATATCTTACATGGAAAGTGTGCATATTTCTTTATCATTAATCATTTTAATTCTTGTAGAACTTGTTTAGAATGTGTTTAAACCTTTCTTGTTTCAGGTCACTCATGCGTGGCCAGGATTACCCAGAGGGGTGAAATTTGACCCATCCGATCCGGAAATTATATGGCATTTACTTTCCAAAGTTGGTGTTGGGAATCTGAAGGCCCACCCTTTTATTGACGAATTCATTCCAACTGTTGAGGAAGATGATGGAATCTGTTATACCCATCCTCAGAATTTACCAGGTATGTATAGGTTACTTTTTCCCCCCTCTGCTTTATTCCTTAGTTATCTTCGCTTAATTGAGTTCTAACAGTGTAAGTTTTTAGGTGTTAAGCAAGATGGTAGTGTATCTCACTTCTTTCACAGAGCAATCAAGGCTTACAGCACTGGAACTCGGAAGCGTCGAAAGATACATGGTGATGATTTTGGAGATGTTCGCTGGCACAAGACTGGCAGGACCAAACCAGTTATCCTGGATGGGGTTCACCAAGGGTGCAAGAAAATTATGGTACTTTATGTGAGCTCCATTAGGGGTGGGAAACCGGTTAAGACTAATTGGGTAATGCACCAGTATCACCTGGGTACGGGGGAAGATGAAAGAGACAGAGAATATGTCATCTCCAAAGTATTTTATCAGCAGCAGCAAGTCAAGCAGAGTGAAAAAGGCGAAGAAGATATTCCTGAAGGCATTGATACGATGATTGCACAAGTAGATCCAATCACTCCCAAAGCTGTGACGCCGTTAAGGCAATTTTCTGAGTTTGACCTGGTTCAAGAGTCCACTTTTTGCATAGATCCCTTGGCTCAGGTGAAATGAACTTCTCTTTATCCCGTATCCTCAGTACATGTCCTTTTGATTTTTGCAAATGTTATCTGCAAATTCCTTAGTTCTTTTATCTTTTTCTCTCTTACCCCTATTGCCTCCTGCTACTAAGTGAATCTATGTAGCTTTTCTTGAGGATTGTTTTAAGTCATTCCATTGGTAAATGTGTCAATGGGCCGCAGTGGAGAAGTCTAAACGACTTTGTAACTGATGCCTGGTTCGAGTCTCCTGGGGTTCTCAATCGCTGTATTCATTAAGGGGGACGGTTATGGCGTAGGTTCAAGTGGCCCTGTGACGAAAATGAGCCAGAAAAATGAAAAGGAAAATAATGTGGCATTAATTGCTTACTTTGGAATTTCCAAGGCACATCCTTACCAAGAGAAAATTTGTTGTGGAAAATGTTATGCACTTACATTTGTCACAGCTACTCATGCCAAATTAAATACTGACATTCTTTCCTTCTCTTTTTCCCCCGTCCTTTACATAGCATCATGAAATGGGTTTCATAGAAGAAGATGTGGAAGCTGCATTTGAGATGCCTGATTGTCCAGATCACCACCCTGCAGAAAATCATGCCGATCAACTGGTAGATAATAATGAGAATCAGGCTGATGAGGAACCAAAATGGTGGGACAGCGAGTCACAACATCTGTTAGACTCACAACAGCTTGTGGAAGGGCTGTCTCTGTGTGACGAGCTTCTTCAGAGCCAGTCTCCAAATAGGAATGGAAATGAAAATGACGGAGCACTAAAAGGCAAGCCCTGTCTTGCTGATTATGCTCAATTAGGACCAGAAAATTTAAAGAAGGATTTAGAGGAGTGCCAAGCTTTGGTTTTCGATCCAACAAACCTTGAACTTGATACACCTCCTGATTTTCGTCTGAGCCAGCTTGTAAGTTCTGCTATCTTCTCTGCCATTTTTTTCCCTTTGTATTGAACTTAGTGGTTTAACTCATGACATGTTATTTCCTGAATTATGATGCACTCCCAAATACTTCTGTAGGAGTTTGGATCGCAGGATAGTTTTCTTGCTTGGGGAGGCAACTAGATGGTTTGTGGGTCTTGATTTCATTCTCCCCCGTGGACAAAAGACTCCTACATTTTGGTAACCTTTTTTTGTGGAGACTCGGTCCTCTAATTTTGGGGGGTGGCGTACATGTAGGCGGTCAAGTACTGTTTACATTACATAATCTGGTGGTGTGTTGATCTCATGCTTTTGCAGGTTGAGAAACTGTATGTTTTTGGAGGTACATAACTGTCTACCTGGTTTTGTTATTCAAAAATGTTGTCTCAAAAGCTTAATTTTAGCAAATGTTTATGTAAAATTGCAGCATCTGCTTCAGATATGCAAAATCTGTTGTTTTATTNCCATAACTGTCTACCTGGTTTTGTTATTCAAAAATGTTGTCTCAAAAGCTTAATTTTAGCTAATGTTTATGTAAAATTGCAGCATCTGCTTCAGATATGCAAAATCTGTTGTTTTATTTTGTGCTCCTGATAAGATTTTTATAAACTTTGCATTTCTGGAAGACAATTCTGATTTCATGTGCTTAGGGGTTGCATGCAACGAGTTTGGTTGAAATACTTGTAGATTAGTGGACTGCCTATAGCTCCGGATATGGGTAGAGACCTGATGATGCTATAAAAGTCCATATTCTTTTAAAAAGGTGCCTGGATACATTCATGTAACTTATAGTCTCACAGGTCATAGAGGAAGGGTGGTTCAAGGGCTCAATTAACACAAAAAAAGTTCAGGGTTTCATTGACACAAGGGTCATAGTTTGATAATTATATGTATAGTTTACTTCAGGTCATAAGGATTGGCTTGAAAATGGCACGAGAGCAAGGATAAAAAGTTCATATTTTTTTTTCTTACCGATACGACCAAAATATTTCTGCTTCAATGGAAATTAAAACGAATAAGTGGCTGAATATTTCTAATGTTTTGAGGTGTTTTGACAGTGGTTTTGGTGACATTTTCAAGGAACTTTTTTTTTCCTGTTTTTTAGTATGTTTTTGAAAACATTTCTAAGATGTTTTTGTTTTCCACCAAATTCTTTGTTTTTTTGATACTTATATGAGACCACTGGGCCTAGCCTTGTTTCGAGAGGGTCCCCGGTGCTCGTTGATGGGCTGCATGATTGCTCGCGGGGAGCTGCACGATGAAATTTGGATAGAATTTTGATTGATCTGAATTAAAATATGAATTAAAGACATTTGATTTCAGTTCAAATTTATAAGAAAGTGCAAAATTGTATTTTTAACCACACAATAAAAAAATAAAATAAAAAGAGTTAACCATCAGTTCATTGGATTCTGAGTTAGATGGATCCACGCATAATTCGTAGGGGTCTTTGATTATAAAAAAATNCACGGGGAGCTCTGCACGATGAAATTTGGATAGAATTTTGATTGATCTGAATTAAAATATGAACAAATTTATAAGAAAGTGCAAAATTGTATTTTTAACCACACAATAAAAAAAAAAAAAAAAAAGAGTTAACCATCAGTTCATTGGATTCTGAGTTAGATGGATCCACGCATAATTCGTAGGGGTCTTTGATTATAAAAAAATAAAATAAAAATTCCAGCTAGTTCCCCTTCCTATTGTCCCCGTGAGGTAGAGTACTCAAATTACTGGTTAAAGTGGAGTCAACAACTCCGATTTTTAAAAAGTGTCATAATTTTGTAAATAGTTTTAAAATTGTTATATTTTGATAAATTTATTTTAAAATTATCGTAAAATAATAAATACTACCAAAAATTATTTCGTAAGAAAAAAAAGAACAAAAATGAATACTCATCTTTATAGGATAGAGAACTAAGCTTTATCCAAAAGACTGAAAACATCTAGTTCAAGTACAATTTGCTTTCAGATTCAACTTTCATCCATGATGAAAAAATTGTGGTCCTTAGGCTTATCTGAATGAGCGAGAGGAATGTATATTATTGTATATAGGATTTATTTATTTCTCATGAATATTTTAATTTTGACGGGTTTGGACTACCTTTCATCGAACTAGGGAAAAGATTAGTGTAGAACTTGAGATGCGTGTAAATTGATCCGAACACCCCTGATTATTAAACTAAAAAAAAATTGGTATTATATAAAAAGTTACAACCAATCATGTCAACTTGCGACTCAAACATGTTAATTTATAATTCAATGAAATCAAATTAGAATCAATTCTAAATATTTGAGTTTTATTTAATCTATTTTTTTTTTTTTTGGTTAAAGTTTCGCTGGACATTTACCATTTTTAAAAATAGGCGTGATCTGAATAAACCTTTCAAATAGAAAAACAAAATATGTGCACACGTATGAGGAAGACTATTGTGCTAATGTCTTTAATATTGTATAAAAAATTATAATTTTTTTATTATGTAAGTTATAATTATAAAAAATATGATTAATTTTAAAATATTATAATCGAGAATAAAAATTATGAATTTTTCAAGAAAAATGGATGGGGGTGATGATTGGAAAAGAATCTTGAGACAGTGGGCGTGGGGGTGGGTGGTGGGGGTAGTCGTAGTAGTGGTGGGGTTGGAGATGAGGAAGTGCACGTGGGGGAGGTTAAGGCTCTGCCATTTTCAGCGATCACGTTATGTCGGTTCCTGTTTGAGATGGCAACTCTTATGTGGCCGACAACAGAATATTAGATTCACGATTCAGCTCCTGTTCAGCCTGACACTATCCGGAACCCACAACCCCTGTTTTTCAACCTTTTGTTTTTTTTTTTTACTAAAAAGATTATTCCTTTCAATTCTAAAATTGATCATCGTATGATTTGGATTTGATTTGAATTTTAATCGATTCGAATTCAAATTTAATTTCAAAAGTCTGATTTAAATTTAATCTGATAAATCAATGGACTTTATTTTTTTGACATTTATTTGAATTCGTTAACAAATTGAAATTTGACTTGATTTAAATAATTTAATTAATTAAATTTTAACAAATTATACTTAATTTTTTTAACATTTTATAAAAATATATAAATAATTTGGATCAAAAAAATATGAATATCCAAATTCAAATCTGTTAAATATAAGATGTTGAATTCGAATTCGGGTTTAAATTATCAGTAAAAAAATATTACTCCATTTTTGACTAATCGGATTCAAATAAGAATCCGTTACCATTGACAGGCCTGACTATAGCTCAAACTAGTTTAAAGATATATTTTATGGGTTGGTTTATTAAGCAGGAGAATGGTAAAAAATGTAATAAAGAGAAATTTCTTAAATTTTCACGTGTTTCGTTAGCAAAAAAAAGACAAATGATAGAAAAATAATTTTTTTTTGTGATTGAATTTTCTCACAAATAACTAATTTTTTTTTTTATAAAAAATACAAGCAAATACAAGAAAGTTGTATTCTATAAGTAACTTTTTATTTTACCTTTATTTTTTTTAAATATTTTATTGGTTATTAATTTTAAAAATTTTTGATATAAATTTAATTAATCATATAATTTGACCCAAAGACCTTTATATTGATGATTGTTCTAGAATTAAGTTTTAAGCCACTTTTTGAAAATATTTTATTTTTCAATTATAATTACATATTTTTTTTATACCGATTTAATATAATTAAGAATAATTTAGACAATTATAAAATATTTCTTATAACTTTCTTTTCTTTCAACAATAAAATGAATTTTTTTAAAAATTTTCTTGTAAATATTTCATTCCAACTAAATAAATGCATAAAAATATATTTTTCTATCTTTTTTATTTCTTTCACTTCACTTTCCATAATTTTTTTCTTTCTAATCAAATAGACCTTAAAGAACAAAGATAACTAATCCTTAATAAGTGTAAGAATTATTAAATCCGAGCACTCTTACTTACGATGAGTCTTTTACTAAATTTGCAAACTGTCCTTTACCCAATTTTAGAGAGATATTCTCAAATTCAACCAACCAACCAAACAACCTTTAGAGACAATGCTTGGACTATATAATTAAAATGAGTGAACATCTCTTACTGACCTAATTAAAAGACCCAAAAAAAAGAAAAAAAAGAATGAATGATCATGTTAATGCTCTTTAGTTGAAGACAAGAAAAACAAGCTTATCTTAGGGATTCGACTATGATACCGATTTTTTTTTTTTTTGATATTATATATCTATTTTTCATATTTGTGATCATTTTTATCACATTTGTAAGTCTTTTTTACCACTGTTGCAGTATCCTAAAAAATGATAAAAATAATTATCACAACAGTGAAAAAAATACTCACAAATATAATAAAAATATCCACAAATGTGGTAAATTTTGTTATAACAAAGGTAATGAGTAAAAATAGTTATCACAAATGTGATAACAAAGGTAATGAGTAAAAATAGTTATCACAAATGTGATAAAAATATCTACGAAAATGATAAATTTTTTAGTTCTAAAATAGCTCGCAAAAATTATAAAAAAATCATTAAAATAATAAAAATTAAATATATGATACCGAATTTAATTTTTCGGTGCCGTAGTCAAGTCCTTATCTTAGATATGGTCAATCTCTTCTTTAACATTATGCCACCAAAATCAATCATTCATTATGATAAATATTTATATGTGATTATGACAATGGTTGGGAGTGCTTTTTAACAGCTACCAAAGGTCGAAATCTATAATCATCATAACAATCCTCAGTCATACCACTTTTAATTATTTATGGGCCTACCATTTACCTATGTTTCTCCCCCCCAATTTTAGCTCTTTACTCTCCTTCAATTATTTCTAGTCTTAGGAGCTATATTGGCTCTAGAAGGAAAAAGTATATGTCTAGTGGCATTTGGTCAAAGATAAGATAAAGTATTAAAAGAAAATAACAAATGACCTAGATAATTATAAGATTTACACTTTCACTCAATTTTATTCACATATAAGAGGACTGGTTAGAAGACTTTAATACTCATGTGACATTGTTTCCAACAAAGGAAGTTTTTCATTGCCTATCTAATTCTTTTAAATGGGGAAGATGAGGAGAAATTTACCGCTTTCGTAGTTGAATTATCAATAGGACCCTTAAGATGATTTGGTTAAA